AGCCTAAGCCTCTCCCGCGGGCGCCGGGCGGGCAGTGGCGCGGCGCGGCGGCGGGGCTGAAATATGATAATCAGAGCGGCTGCGCCGCGCGCCCCGCAGCCAATGGGCGCGGCCCTCGCCTGACGTCCCCGCGCGCTGCGTCAGACCAATGGCGAGGGAGCTGAGTTGGAGCAGAGAAGTTTGAGTAAGAGATAAGGAAGAGCGGTGCCCGAGCCGCGCGAGTCCGCCGCAGCCGCAGCGCCTCCGCTCCGGACTCCGCCGGCCGAGCGTGGACTCCCGGACCCGCGAGGGCGCGGCGCCCCAGCAGCGGCTCTCCCAGCCTTGGCAACCCCAGGGGCCACTATTTCCCACTTAGCCACAGCTCCAGCATCCTCTCTGTGGGCTGTTCACCAACTGTACAACCACCATTTCCCTGTGGACATTACTCCCTCTTACAGATATGGGAGACATGGGAGATCCACCAAAAAGTAAGAGGCTTTTTTACCTTGTGGGGCTCGGTGTGCTGTTCTGGTGCGGGGGTCTCTCTCAGGCACGGGTGCCAAGGGCTCTGCGGAGTCGGAGTCACTGCCTGCAGAGAGAAAGGTGGCTTTTCTCGTGGCCGTCACGCCTGTTTGCTTGCTGTCGGTTCTGATCTTCGGGAAACTGATCGTACCTTGTGTTTGAATTCGCCCGGGTGCCCTCGCAAACCCTAGTCTTCTGGTACTTAGAGGCGATTTCCTGCTCGGGAATGCCGAGCTCTCTGAGAAGGTTATTATGTTGCAAAGGTCTGCGTGAACATACAATACCCACAGATACGAATTAGCATTAGACTTGCAAAAGAGAACGAGTGACAACTATATTGATGTCTGCTCTTGCTAACAATATCCAGTCCTAGGTGCTATTTAAGAGCGTGCTTCATAGAAAATATAGACATCCCTGCGTTCACTTAACGCTTCTAGTCAAAACCTTTTCTTTGACTTGACTTATCCATAATCTTTTCCAGTGATTATAGCAAAGAGGGAGGAGGGGGGGAAATACAAAACGAGCGGGTTTGATTGCGTGCTAGGCTTACAAATGTAGACTATTCAAATCTGCGTTTTACATATATTCCACCTCCTTTTTAAAATGAGTCAAGGTTTTGATGGCACACTTCAATTACCATCCCAAAGTGCAATACTCTTTTTTTTTTTTAAAATGAAAGAAAAAAAAAAAGAAAACCTCCCTGAGTACGCCCTATAAGAGAACGACACTAAAAGTGTGTTTATCTCTGTAGGAAGTAAACGGTTAGTCAATCATGTATTTATTTTCATTTCAGAAAAACGTCTGATTTCCCTATGTGTTGGTTGCGGCAATCAAATTCATGATCAGTATATTCTGAGGGTTTCGCCGGATTTGGAATGGCATGCGGCATGTTTGAAATGTGCGGAGTGTAATCAGTATTTGGACGAGAGCTGTACGTGCTTTGTTAGGGATGGGAAAACCTACTGTAAAAGAGACTATATCAGGTATGCCATTTATACTTTTGCCTTCATTTGTGAGGTTTTCTTGCCTCTCTCCGTTTATTATTTGCTGTGGCTTTGTCTTGGGGGAAGTGTGCATTAGTGGGGTCCAGCATGCAAAAGTTTCCTTTTAAGTGCGTTTATAAAATTGAACTATACTCTTCATGTAGTTTTTTTTTTTAGGAAACAGAATGACAAAATCTCTATACAGGGTTTTTCATAAATTGTATGGTACGAAAGCTTGTTAAATTATTTTTGGAATTTGTGGTACCCATATTATTTTCTTTCACCCTCTCTTTTCCAAAACCACCATCAACAACAAAATTTAAAGGTGGATGAGTTTGAATTTCTAAACTTTAAAAATACGATCAATTTTCACTATCTAATGCAGTGTTGTATTTGTCTGCTTTAACTGTGTTTTATTAGTAAGTTTAGAAAATTTTGGAGGCATCAGTGAAATAGACAAAATAAAAGTTTGAAGCACATTTAGGGATGTATCTTGCAAAAGCAAACAGAAGCATTTCTTCTTTTAGGATAAAAGCTTTATCCTGGAAATTTTCAAAACCAACGAAAATAATCCTTGCAAAAAGACCCGGAAATTTAATCTTTTTAAATATTAACCCTTTGGTGACATCTGACTGTCTTTTCTTTCTTATCTTATCTGAGCTGATGAATTAGACTGAGCAGATCAAATTGCCCATCATCTGTCCACGAACAATTGGTATATTTAGATAATTGAACAGCTTCCTTTCTCACATTAAAATCTAGGAACTGATAAAATGAGTGAATTGCCCATTCTGACAAGACTAAAACCACATAGCAACTTTCTGAGTTTGGTTTTGTTGTTGCTATTTCAATTTACTCTGCATCAGGCTTCACCAGCCTCAAATTTTTGAGGAGGACTTGTATATATATATATCAGAAAGTTCATTTTCAGCCTTAGGAAGCCAGTAGAATTTGTAAATTTTTTTTTAATTGCCTTCAATAGCAAACAGAAGAGCTATTGCCTTTGCTAGTATGTCAAGTGATAGTAAGAATATTTTCAAAAAATTCCCCAGTGGCGATTAATAAATAATTAGATGTTGTAGGTCAGAGGGTTTTTGGAACTTGAGAACTTTCATTAAAGTTTAGTAAAGATTTAATACATAGTCACAATTTTCTCCCGCCTACATAGTAACACACATTTTTAAAAAAATTATGACGTGGAGAATATAATCTTGGTAGGTAAATTCAACGGTGCAAGAGGAGAAATTTTTTAACAGTTTGGGGGAGTAGGGGTGAGAAAGAGGAGGAGAGAGGAATTTTCTAAGTTGTTTAGTCAGTGGCAAAGTAAAGTCCTAATCCCATAAAATGGAAGCTCTTACATTGGGTAGGTGGAGAGAGGAAAAACTTTTGAATCTACCTTTTAACCTCTGACAAGTGAGCCATTTCTATTGTTTAGTTGGTATGTGGGCTCAGGATTCTGGAGAGAGAGAACCCACTTGGCACCTGCAGGGGCATCTTTACTCCTGTGGAAATGTCATTTTGCTAAATTGTACATAGACCTGCATGTGCCTAATTTTGCACACTTCTATAGAAAAACCCAGTCTTTTCTCTCTCTTAACTCTGTGTGTGTGTGTGTGTGTGTGTGTGTGTGTGTGTTCATGAACATGTACATGTACCCTTAAACCCTGGGGTTGTAAAAGCAGACTGGAGTGATCCTTTGCATTTCCAAACGTCTCCTAGGACAGCATTCCCTCCCCCATCCCACTCGGGCATGGATCTGTTCCTCTCTCTTCCGTTCAGTTTGTAGGAATGGCCCAGCCTGTGTTATTACTGAAAGAGAGGGGGCAACTAGTGCAGCTTAGATGGAACCTATAAGGATCGTCCCTTGGTAAGGAAAGGCCAACAAAGAGAAGACCTTAGAAGTCAAATATTCGGGTTGGTATTGGTTCTCAAGCAAACTGAAATAGAGGCAGATACTTAAGAGACTTGGAGAAGATTTGAGAGAGTAAGAGCAGATTTTAGAACTAATAATAAAGGGAGGCATGGAGAAGGAACATTCACACTATTGCCTGCAGAAAGTCTGTGGTTGGATGGAGGCTGTGCTGGCTTGCTGTGCAGGAGGGGATCTGGACGGAGGTTTCATTTTGTTATTCGCGTATGATTTGTGGGACTTCACGAATGAAGAGGGGTGACAGTCCCATTCCACAACCTTTTTGTTATTGCTTCCGAGATATTTCTGGCAACTGCAACTGAGGGAGAAAGAAGTGAAAGTGTGGGGCCACTGGCTACTGGAGGCCCCCTGAATTCCTCCCCGCTCAAATCTGCATGGACATATCTCTGCTGGGTTCTACTGCTGCGGCCCAGGTTTTGAATCCATCAATAAATTTCTTTAGTTCGGGCCGGATGTTCTAGATTTAAGAGACACTGAGCTGGAGAGGTTCATTGGAAAGCAAAAGGGACTGAGGGAAAGGGAGAGGAGGGTGCAAGAGAAAGATACGAAAAGTGGGAAAGAGGTTTCATTTCTATCCTCTCCTTCAGAGCGGTAATACTGATTTTTCAAGGCATCTCTGAGCTTTCAGCCGGGATAGCTGGCTGTCTTGGGCCAGGGCAGCGCCTGCCTAAAGTGACCCCTTGATGTGCTTCTGTTCCGGCCCTGCCGGCCCGCGCAGGTTGTACGGTATCAAATGCGCCAAGTGCAGTATCGGCTTCAGCAAGAACGACTTCGTGATGCGCGCCCGCTCCAAGGTGTACCACATCGAGTGTTTCCGCTGCGTGGCCTGCAGCCGCCAGCTCATCCCCGGGGACGAGTTCGCGCTGCGGGAGGACGGGCTGTTCTGCCGCGCGGACCACGACGTGGTGGAGAGAGCCAGCCTGGGCCCTGGCGACCCGCTCAGTCCCCTGCATCCGCCGCGGCCGCTGCAAATGGCAGGTATTCCACCGCCCGAGGAGCCGGCTCCAGGGAGGCAGGTCAGGCCAAGTGTGGCGGCCCTCCCCAAGTCCTGGAGGCCAGCAAACCTGGTCGCTCCAGGGTGGTTGTGACAGCAGGCCTGTGGCCGTTAAGCCAAGTGTTCCAAGAGCAGTTTTGCACCGTGCGCCGTCCTGTACAGCAGGGTTCACTGTGCACGCTG